TCCTCCTCCTCCTCCTCCTCCTCCTCCTTCCTGGTGCGCACATTCCTGGGGTGGTGGTGGTGGTGGTGGTGGTGGTGGTGGTGGTGGTGTACCTTCTTGGGGCCCGCACGAGGGGCGAGCCCGGCCTAGCCGGGACGGCCGAGCGCGTCGAGGCGGGGAGCCCCTCGGGGGCGCCGCCGCGGAGCTCCGCCGCGTTCTCCGCGGCGCTCGAGGCGGGCGAGGGCCACGACGACGCCAGGCCTGCGGTGGCCCTCGCCGGCCCTCCTCTCGGCGGCGAGGAGGAGGAGGAGGAGGAGGAGGAGGAGGAGGAGGAGGAGGAGGCGGAGGAGGAGGAGGAGGAGGAGGAGGAGGAGGAGGAGGAGGAGGAGGAGAGGAGGAGGAGGAGGAGGAGGAGGAGGAGGAGGAGGAGGAGGAGGAGGAGGAGGAGGAGGAGGAGGAGGAGGAGGAGGAGGAGGAGGAGGAGGAGGAGGAGGAGGAGGAGGAGGAGGAGGAGGAGGAGGAGGAGGAGGAGGAGAGGGAGGAGGAGTCTGACCAACGTTAAATAAACGGAGGAGGAGGGCCCCAACGAAAAGCATAGGCCGGGCCCCCTGCGCGCCAGCGCAGAGCCCTGCCCCGCGCGGCGAGGAGGGCCGTGGCCTTCGCCCGCGGGCGAAGGGGCGAAGGAGAGGGATGGGGCCTTCTCAGGAGGCGGCGGGACTCCTCCTCCTCCTCCTCTCCTCCTCCTCCTCCTCCTCCTCCTCCTCCTCCTCCTCCTCCTCCTCCTCCTCCTCCTCCTCCTCCTCCTCCTCCTCCTCCTCCCCCCCCCAGACGTCCGCCGATGTGATTCTTTTCCATCAGCGGCCCACGGCCCCAGGGGTCCCGACCGCGACCCTGGGGGTAGCGTTTCGTCCAGGATCCAGTTTTGATTGTCCCGGGGCCCGATTCTGGGCCCGGGAGACCGAGCCCGAGGAGAATCGCTTGGCCTGGCACGAGCTAGAGGCCTCCCCGATGGGGCCCGAGCAGAGAAGGCCAGGCGATCGCGACGCATCGCCGATGCATCGGCTACGCATCGTCGATGCATCGTCGACGTCGGCGACGCCTTGGCGACGTCGACGTGCAGAACATGAGCCGCATCGGCGACGCATCGGCGATGCTTCGGCGATGAGGCGCGATCCTCCGACCCCATCTACTCGGACCCTATCTGCGAGGCCCAGAAAAACGCAGTCGGCCCAGAGTAGGTCGACCCCTCCAGATTAAGGGTACCCTTGCGTCCTGTGCCTCGCAATCGATGCCTCCTACATTCTTATGGCAATGTGAGCGACGCAAAAAAACGGGGTCGTCTTCGCCGACATTGGCGCGTAAGCTGCCGGCCCGCGTGAGGTCGCGCGTAAGCGCCCTCGTCTCCAATGTAGCGTGCCGCGCTGGCGGCCCGCGTAAGCTGCGGCGTAAGGTCGCTGTGCCATTTCGCGTAAGACCCGTTTTTGGATTGTCGCCCACGTGGCCCTCGGAGGGGTCTTGTGTCCTCTCGAGTGTCCTGCCCAATGAAATCCGACTGTACCGTGGGAGACCTGGGCCCCCTCCCCAGACATCCGACGTCTCTATTTTTTCGAGGCGCGGGCCCCCGACCCCCCGACCACTTCCCCGAGACAGGTTTCTCATCCCGAGTCGTTTTCTGACGGTCCCGAGGCCCGGCGAGGGCCCCGAGAGGGCTAACACGAGACGAAAAGCCCCCGCCCCGATTTCTCTCGAGGCGCCCCACGTCTGGGGACCTGGCGGCCCCCTCCGCAGCCACGCTGGCCCCTGTACAGCAGGGGTGCTCGCTGGGGGGGCCCGCCGGCCGCCCGCGGCCCCGCCCGCCGGGCCGCCCGCCGGGCCGCCCGCGGCCCCGCCCGCCGGCCCGCCCCGCCGCGCCGCGCCCTGCCGGGCCGGGCCCGGGGCGGCTCCCGGCCGCCGGAGCGCCGGAGGCCCCGGCGGCGCTGGCCCGGTCCGCCCAGACCGGGGGCGACGAGCCCCGACCCCCCTTGGCCAGCATCGTGGAAGCGAGCCCCATCCCCATCCCCCCTGCCCCTCGAGAGCTCCACCGAATTATACCACCCCTGAGATCTGGCGCTCCAACAAAAATTGGAGCAGGCGGTTTGTGGCAGTTTTCGGCCTCTGGGGGCCCTCGCCGGGCCTCGGGAGCGTCAAAAAATTATTCCAGGACGAAACACCGGTCCCGGGGAAGTGGGCCAGGCCTCCTGGGTCCACGCACCAGAAAAATTGGAGCAGCCGGATGTCTGGGATCCCAATTGGGGATACCACGCCGCTGGGGATGGGGATCGGATCAACGATACTCCTTGGAGTTGTGAAATAGGGGAACGAAGAATGACAGAAGCATAGAAACTTCTTGGGGAACTCTTAGGGGAACGACCAAGGTCATAAACATAATAACTCGGAGGTCCGCGCGGGTTTCTCGGATTCGCGCTGGGTCCCTGGCGGCGCCTCCAGCGCCGCCCCTGTCGCGCTCCTCTCGCCAGGGAGGGGGGTCCAGCGCCGATCCGAGCAATCCGCGCGGACCTCCGAGCTTTGATGCTCATGTCGGTCTTCGTCCTCCGATGACACATGTCACGACGGGAGGTTTCTCGCGATGTTCGGCCTCCGGGGGCCCTGGCCCTGGGCCCTGCAGGCCCGTCAAGAGACGGCTGGGGATGAGAGACCAGTCCGAAGGATTGGACAAATTTCCCGAAGGATTGCAAAAAACCCCAGAATTGATTGCAAAAAAACCTTGAACGAAGGTTTTTTTTGCAATCCTTGGTTTTTTTGCAATCCTTCGGGAAAGGTCGCGACCTTCTGGGGCGCGACGATGCGAACAAATCACGACGCCGGGGGTCTGGGTTCCGCCCGCGGGAGCGCCGGAGGCCCCGGCGGCGCTGGCCCGGTGCGCCCAGACCGGGAGCGACGACGGGGGCGAAGAGCCCAAGGGGAGGGCAAGCATGCATGTGTCGTCTGCACGTGCCCAGACATGATCGTGTCGTAGAAAAATCAGGACGGGAGGTTTCGGGCCATTTTCGGCCTCGGGGGGCCCTCGCCGGGCCTCGGGAGCGCCAAAAAGCAACTCAGGATGAAAAACCGGTCCCGGGGAAAGGGTCGGGACTTCTTGGGACCACGTATTGAAAAAATCAGGACGTCGCATGTCTGGGTAAGGAGTGACCTCTCGCCAGGGTGACCTTTTTTGGTGGGGGCACGCCCTGGGGTTCCCCAGAGGATCCAAGTGCGATGCGATCTGTAGCAGCATCTTGCGCGCTGGGGCTTTGCCTCCTCGCGGCCTCCGAAAGTCGCACACCAAAAGGTAGCCGAGGATCCAGGGGCGCCGATGGTCCTTGCCTTCGGCGAGGCTCCCAGGCGAATGCGTGTAATGCCCACCCCTGGGCTATTCGCCCCGATCGTCGCCTCCGACCAGGGGCGCCGGCATTCTTCTAAGCCTCCCAGTGGGTGCGTCTGTTTGGAGCTCTGTGTGACATGCACAATGCCCTCTTTGCATGCTTGCACAGGCCGCTAAAGGCCGCCAGAGGCCACCAGAGGCCGCCAAAGGCCGCGAATGGCCACTAGAGGCCGCGGAAAAGCCACGAAAGGCCACCAAAGGATGCCAAGAGTACACTAGCGGCCGCTAAAGAACACTAAAGGCTACTAAACTGAGGCGGTGCATGTTCGAATGAGCTTCCAAAAAGACTCGCCTACCTCCCAGATGGGGGCGGAGCACGTAGATGGGGTTGGGGGATCGCGTCGCACGCCGATGCATCGGCGATGAGGCCCGATGTGGAGCCTGACTTTCTCCACACCGACGCCGCCGATGCATCGCCGACGTCGCCGAAGCATCGCCGACGCACCGGCGTTGCATCGGCGATGCGGCGCGATTCTCTGACCCCATCTATCCAGACCCCACCTGGGAGACCTCAAGTTCTGAGGAGGGACAGTCGAGACAACTTCAGACATCTTCGCGTCGTGAAAAATACGGCGTGTCTTTTTATCGTCTCATGTTCGGCTCCGGGCGGCCCTTGCCGGGAACCCCCACGGCGTCGAGCATCGGCTCGGGACGAAACTGTCCCCGGGGAAGGGGTCGGGACTTCGAGGGACTTGGTGCTGCACAAAGGCAGACATACAGTGCCGTTTTTTTCATGCATGCTCCGCGCGCGGAGCATGTATTTTAAAAATGCAGGGATTTAGTATTTGAAACAACGATGAGTTCATGCATACATGTATTTTATGAACAAATCATGGGTTACATAGTTTTTGGTTGTTGTTTTTTGTTTTGAAAATGCGATGTATTAAAAACTGCCCTGTACATCGCATGTCTGGGGGAGGCCCCACTGGGCGCTCTTCGCCCCTCCTGCGCCTCCCGGCGGCTCCTCGCTGGCCACGGCCGGCCCTGCCTCGAACAAAAAGCGGGTCGGGATGGACCCCGCGCCGACTTCTCGACCGGCCTTTGGGCCCTGCGGGAGAGCTGCCGTTGTCTCCACTAGCCCTCCTCCTGCAGAGGGGTCGCGCGCGTCGCGCGATGGGCGACGGCGGGCCTGGTCGCTTCGAGGAGCTCTCCCGTCGTCCTCTTCTCTGGCAGGAGGTGAAGTCTCATTCTTTGCTCGAGCACCTAACGCGCGTCCTTTGGCCTCCAACCCACCCGCCCGCCCAGTTGAACACACATGACGCCCTCCGCTTCACCCCCCCGCCGTTGCGGCCGCGCCTGCTGTCTGGCGCACGGGTGTGCTGTTCGTAGTGCGCGCGCAGCGTGGTATGTCATGTGCCAGCGAACCCACCCACCCGCCCGCCCGCCCACGCACATGACGCGCGTTACAGTCGGCCTGGATTACTAGGTCGACCCTGCACGATCAAGGGTACCCTTGTGTCCTGTGTCTCGCGACCCATGCTTCCTACATTCCTGTGGCAATGTGGCCCTCGGAAGGGTCTTGTGTCCTCTCGCGTGTCCTGTCCAATCGAGTCCGATTGTATTTAGCTTCAGAAAAGCTTGAGCCCCGGCGCTGTCGGGCGTCCCCGCTCCGCCCCTGCCTCGCCGCCGCGCTCCTCGGGCGCGCCTCGGGCGCGCCGCGGGCGGGACTCCGGGCGCCGCGGGCGGGACGGCGCTCCTCGGGCGCGCCCCCCGGAGTCCATTGGGGGGGGGGGGCCTGCTTCCGAAGGGAGGGGGGCGGGGAGGAAGGCCTCTGGGGGAGGTCTCTTCCAGGCTATCTTGGAGGGCCTGGGGGGTCTGGGGACGATGTTTTGGAGGGTTCTCCCACGGGGGAGGTCTGAAATGACTTGTCTTGGAGGGTCCAGACCCCCTCCCTTTTATTACGAAATCTGGAGTAGCACTTTCTAGTAGTTGTACTTTTGGGTATTGCCACGCGCGCGAATGGCGTGTCCGTGCCGGATCGTCTGCAGGGTGGGCTTGTTTTGCGTACCCGTTGGGGATGGGAGGCCGTTCGTCTTGTAGCAGTCCTGTGTCATGGGGTTGCTTTGGCAGTCCAACAAGTCCCCGAAGTACTTAGTGCCACCTGTGATAGTAGGCTGGTTATGTAGTTTGACCTCGTTTGCCAAGTCGTACTCGGTGTAGTTCACGTAGTGGATTTTCATATGGATGTACTGGTCTGGTAAGGCAATCGCTGTCTTACTTCTGGCTCCTACTCCTCTTCCTCCTTCTCCTAATTCTCCTCCTCCTTTTCCCCCTTCCCCTCCTCCTCATCTTCCTCCTCCTCCTTTTTCCTCCTCCTCCTTCTCTTACTCGGCTGCGCGTATATGCCAGTTCTCTCTTCTTTCAAGCTGTATGCTGTCTGTGGGTAGCGGCCGTCACGAGCTGGTCGCATCAGGGACGGCCTCGCGGAGCTTTCCCAGACATCCGACGTCTTGGTTTCTTGATGCGCGGTCCCCGGATGTCCCGACCCTTTCCCCGTGGGGAGGGGACCCGCTTCTCAGAGGGCCCGGAAGGCCTCGGAAGGCCTCCAGCTTCGCGAGAAATGGTCGAAGCCTCCTCCGTCGACGGAGACGGCTTCTCAGAAGGCTGGCGGGCTTCTGAGAAGCCCCGCTGTCATCGAGAGGGCCTGCCCCTTCTCGCTTCCCCCCTCGGCTCGCCGCTGAGAGACGAGGCGAGCCGAACGCGGGTGCCTCGAGGAGCTGCTGGGGGAGCTGCGCGCGGAGCACCAGCGGCTGCTGTGGCACAAGGGCGCCGAGCCGCCCTCGGGCCCCACCCGGGTGGTCGCCTGGGGCGCGGCTGGCCGGGCGTCCGCCGAGGGCCTCGCGGAGCTGCCTGAAGCGCGGGTGCCCACGACCCCGAAATATCAGTACGATCGGAGTGGGTACGGACAGAATGGGCACGAAGACCAAGCAGCGCCACCTGCGCATTCTGAACAGGAGTCGCGGTCGGCGTCGCCGCGGACGTTGTCCACTGAGACAAGAGGTCGCCTGCCCAACGCGGCCGCTGTCGGTCTGGGACAACATTCGCTGTTGGGCATCGTGCTCATTTTTTCGGTACCAATTGCGGGTGTGCCACTGACGCCCCTCCCCAGATCTCTTCGGAGGCCTAGAGGCTGACACCAACAACAGCATCGGCGGTGTGCCTCTACCGATGGAAGCTGCTCCCGATCTCGGTGATGGTGGTAATCTTCGGGCTTTCTGGGTGGCCGAGCGATGACCACAGGCACCAACATCCAAGAGCATCTTTCCCCAGTGGAGGCAACCCCCTTGTTGGTGTTGATGCTCCAATCTCCGACCGTGTCATGTGTTCAGACCCCGGGTTTTCCTCGACTTCGGCCCTAGGTGGCCGTTGTTGGGCCCCCGGGGCCACCAAACATAGAGCGGGGACGCAAGGCGACCCCTTGGGAGGTGGTCGGGAGCTCTGAGGCCGCGGATTTCAGAATCACATCGGAGGATGTCTGGGGTCCTATTCCTAACCCTGCTTAGCATCACGCGATCTCCCCCGAGGTTCTGGCGTCGCATTTTTCGCGCCCAGCGCTGTCGCCCAGATTCGGGGCACGGGGGGCCTTCGCAGATCGATGCCGCCTGGGGGGCGCTGCAGACAGGTGGGCTCCGGGGCTCCGGCCAGGACTTTTCACGGTAGTGCAATGTTGTCGTGCCGTCCGATCTCAGGGTCGAGCCCGGCCTCGAGGATCCCTTCGGTTTCTGGAGGCGCATCCCCAAGGTTGCAGTCGCCCTGGTCTCGTCAGTCTTGATTGGCTGCCTCGGTACGCCCGTCTCGAGACGCAGCACGCACCGTGTTCGGCACGTCCGTGTTGGCACGCCGCGCGTTGGCTCGGCGTATGGGCCCACGTTTTGGCCAACGTGTCGCGTCATACCTACGTTGTCGGTCTACGTGTTGAGCTCCGTATCGGTACTGCGCCGCTCGGGGCAGCTAAGTCTTTGAAGCTAGGGAGATCACCGCCCACTAAACCACCCCCACCCAACCCGAACGCCCCAATTTGTCCTCCATTCCCAGTGGGGGGAGGCGGCATCGGGGAACATTGAAACCCATATGTGATGCATTCCAAAAAGGGCCTTGCCTTCGAGGACCAAAGGAGTTGGCATCCCTTCTTCGGCGGAAGGCGGCGGAAGGGCGGCGGAAGGTCGGCGGAAGTAAAACGAGGTCGCTTCCGCCGGTGGAAGCCGGCGGAAGGCTGGCGGAAGGCCTTGGAAGTAAAACATTGCCCTCCAAAAGATGACAGCAAATTTGGGCTCAGGTTTTCCGGAATCCGCTATGTGGAACCCGTACCCCCCCAACTGACTGAAACCTTTCCTGACATGAACGGGAAGCGCGTGAAAGGGAAGAGTTGCGCAAAAACTTGCAGCATCATCGCGATCACATATAAGATAGGCGAGCTCTCCGAACGTTCACACAGGATACGTATGGACACGCGCCCCCCCGAACGTTCACAGGCATCTTCCTGATTATCCTCCTCACTCCTCCGCATGAGGACGACGACGGCGAAACCTCCGACCGTGGGAGGAGGGGAATGAGGAGGAGGAGGAGGAGGAGGAGGAAGAGGAGGAGGTGGAGGAGGAGGAGGATGAGGAGAAGGAGGAGGAGGAGGATGAGGAGAAGGAGGAGGAGGAGGAGGAGGAGGAGGAGGAGGAGGAGGAGAAGGATGACCAGCAGCAGCAGCAGCAGTAGCAGCAGCAGCAGCAGCAGGAACAGAGGGTGAGGAGGGGACGGGGAGGAGGACGAGGAAGAGGAGGAACAGCAGGAGGAGGAGGAGGAGGAGGAGGACGACGAGGAGGAGGAGGAGGAAGGAGAAGGAGGAAGAACGGGAGGAGGAGGAGGAGGAGGAGGAGGGAGGAGGAGGAGGAGGAGGAGGAGGAGGAGGAGGAGGTGGAGAAGCACAAGAACAGGAGGAGGAGAGGAGAGAAGGAGGAGGAGGAGGAGGAAGAGGAGAAGGAGGAAGAGAAGGAGGGAGGAGGAGGAGGGAGGCGAGGAGGAGGAGGAGGAGGAGGAGGAGGAGGAGGATGAGTGATGATGATGATGATGATGATGATGATGATGCTGATGATGATGATGCTGATGATGATGATGATGATGATGATGATGATGATGAGGAGGGGAGGAGGAGGAGGAGGAGGAGGAGGAGGAGGGAGGAGGAGGAGGAGGAGGAGGATGAGACAATGTGGTTTCGAAGGCCCGTTCGGAGGCAGTTTGTAGGGGATATCTCGAGCGAAACGCAGATTTTTTCTGTATTTTCGCTTCTTGGGCCATCTTGGAGGTCATCCGAGATCGTTCCGAAAAGCTGCCTTACAAGAGCTCTGTCGGCATCCCATTTTTTCGAGGATGTCTCGGGCGAAACGTCCATTTTCGAGGATCCGAAAATTCGGCGAGCGATTTCAAGATCTCCATGTTTGGAGGATGTCTCAAGTGAAACGCCCATTTTTAGCAAAAGACGTCTTAAGATACGACCCCCAACTTCACGATTCTGTGAGGATATCTAGGGCGGAACGCTCATTTTGGGAATCCGCCACGTCCCCGACCACGAGTACCTCCCGCGCGTTCCCCCCCCAGACCCCCCCCAGTTGATACTGCCTCTGGCCGAGAGAACGTCCATCGCGCGACTCTTCGAGTCTTAGCGCGCTTCCCGTCATTGGGGTCTTCGGGCTCGGTTGGGGTGGTCTGGTAGGCACAGTCAACCCGCATAGGAAGGATGGGCAACCTTCCTAAGGGTACCCTTGCACCCTTCCCTCCTCGGTCCATCCTTGACCGCTTTCGCTGGCCGCGTCCAAGGCCCTTGCATCCTTATTTCGCATCCTTATGATACTCGAGGGTAGACAGAACCCCCCCTGACACGTCGATCAGTGAATTGTCCGTTTCCGGTTCTCGAGAGGGCGCCGCGGCCGTCATTTTCCAGCCTTGCGCCCGCCAGGTTTGGACCCGACACCGTTTTCACTAAACTACGTTTTACTAAAGGGGGCTCTGTCAAGGGCGTTAAAAACGTCCCTGTCCTGGTTTGCGAGGCTCTGTGCGCTGAACCTCTTGTGGGCTGACAGTGTAAACCCTGCATGTCGCGCGTGTTGCGCGGCGCCCTGGCGACTCTCTGGCCCTTGGGAGCTCCCAGGAGGTCTACTGACCACGCACTTGTAACCCAGGGTAGGGGCGTGTTTGCATCCCCCAGTTCTGTCCATCTCCGACCTCCCGACCACTCCCCTGGACCGGTTTCTCATCCCGAGTCGTTTTTTGAGGGCCCCGAGGCCCAGCGAGGGCCCCGAGAGGGCAAACACGACGAAAAACCTCCGCCTCGTTTTTTGTCGAGACGCCCGATCCGATGTCTGGGAAGGGGGTTCCCAGACCTCCAACGTAATGAAAAAATCAAGACGGAGTTTTTTTTCGATTTTCGACCTCTAGGGGCCCTCGCCGGGCCCTGGGACCGCCAAAAAACGACTCGGGATGAGAATCTGGTCCTGGGGAATGGGTCGAGACTTGGGGGGACCGCGTGTTGAAAAAATCACGACGTCGGATCTCTGGGTCCCCATGCCCTTCGAGACCCTCACCGAATTACCACCCCAGTTGGGGATGCCCCCCTCGAAACCCGAGGGGAACGGCCTCTGTATCTCCATCTGCGGGGGTAGATCGGCCAGTGGGGCCCAGGCCACACTGGGGATGGGGATCGGATCAACGATGCTCCCAGTGGAGTCGTGACATCGGGGAACGAAGAAGGACAGAAGCGCAGAAACTTCTTGGGGACCTCCTTGGGGGCACTCTTGGGGGCACGACGTCGGATCTCTGGGCTCTGGCCGTCCCCGAGGCGCGGGCCGACGGTGGCCGGGGAGCGCTCGACGCCAGCCAGGTGCCCTCGCCCCACGGCGAGCTGCGGGCGGCCGCCGGGCCGCCCGGCGGCCACGGCCGCGGGGCGCGCCCGGCGCCGGAGGCGCGAGCCGTGGACGAGGTCGTCGAGGGAGGAGAGACCTCAGGAGGAGAGAACACACAGACCCTCCTCATCCTCCCCCTCCTCCTCCTCCTCCTCCCTCCTCCTCCTCCTCCTCCTCCTTCCCCCCCTCCCTCCTCCTCCTCCCCCTCTCTCTTTCTCCTCCCCCTCCTCCTCCTCCTCCTCCTCCTCCTCCTCCTCCTCTTTCTCCTCCTCCTCCTCCTCCTCCTCCTCCGCCCGGCGCCGGAGGCCCGAGCCGAGGGAGGAGAAACCTCAGGAGGAGAGAAAACACACAGACACAATGAATCGTCGACCCCACAGAAAAAATATATGGGAAAACATGGGAAGTGGGGGGGGAAGACGAAGATCCCCAAAAATGTAGGAAAATATGGGGGATCCTGCTATTCGTGTGTGTATTTATTTGTGTGTCCTTGGGCCCCTTGAAAACCACCCGGGCCGGCCCATCGGCGGTTGCCACACGGCCCGGGGCGTTTGCTAAACAGCCCCGTCCCGGTCGACTCCTGCTTTGGGTGCGTTGACGAAGCGGCTTCGCGTGTCGGGGTGGTAATTCCTCCTCAGCACCGCCTGCACCCCGCGCCCTCGGGCCGCCTGAGGCTCCGCCCGCCTGTGCCCTGTCTCCCCAATTAGTGCTCTGCGCGGCCCGCCTAGCTCTTAACCGGAAGAGGCTCGCTCTCGACCCGCAGACCAAAAAAGTGTCGGGACTTTTCGACTATGTTTGATTTTTTCCCAACCATCCTGTGGTGTTGGGTCCTCGTTTTGAAGAGAGCGCTCCGCGTTCCTTCCTCCCGCTGCCCCCTCCCTCCTCCCTCCTCCCCCTCTTTGCCTCTGCTCTCGGCACACCTCTCACACGTTTCGTAGCCCCATAGGGAGCTCCACCGAAGGCCCCAGTGGTTGCTCTCGCATGCGTTTCCTTCACCCTGGGCAGCGTTTCGTGGCCCCATAGGGAGCTCCACCGAAGGCCCCAGTGGTTGCTCTCGCATGCGTTTCCCCCACCCTGGGCAGCGCTTCGTAACCCCATAGGGAGCTCCACCGAAGGCCCCAGTGGTTGCTCTCGCATGCGTTTCCCGCATCCTGGGCAGCGTTTCGTAGCCCCATAGGGAGCTCCACCGAAGGCGATCCCCGCGCACCAGGAAGGCGTCTGGCGCCGACCCAGGAGGTCCGTCCGCGAGCCCAGTTGGGAGTGAGAGGGGGCAGGTCCGCTTGCGACGAAGACAGAACGCCATGCACGGAAGCTTCTGGCCAGGGAGTTCGGAGGAGGCAAAGATATACCCATGCCGCCGCGCGTCCCTCGTTTGCCCCTTTTTGGGGCCTCCCAGGGGGGCCCTCGCCGCCGCCGCTGGATTCGCCTCGAAGTCTGGGTCACAACACACCCCGGGAGGGGTCCGGGGAGGAGCGGTATATGTACCTTTTGGTTTCCCCAGGAGGGGGTCCAGCGTCGACCCGAGAGGTCCGGGAGCCCCGAGGGGGAGAGAGGGGGCATGCCCTCTCAGAAGGCGGCGGCGCTTCTCAGAAGCCCTCGCGCAATCAGAGAAGCCCTGTGAGCGTTAAGCCTCCTCCGAATCCGCAGGGGGCTTCTTTTGGAGGCGGCCGAGGTGGTCAGGTCGGAGCGCTCCGAGGTCAGCATCAAGGGCAGCGACGACAAGGTCCGCAAGTTCAGCAGCGCTAGCAGATCCCGGTCGGACGCCGTGGTCTTGACTGGCGAGAGCCGGACGAGCCCTGGCTCCAGCAAGGCTTCCAAGTTCAGCGCCTGGTGGAAGTCGCTGGTGGTCGGGCAGTGCCAAGGGTTGGGCGACCTGGGTCACCAGCTTCTCCTGGAAATCCGTGTTCTGGGATCGAAGATCGAGGAGGCTTTCGAGCGTTTGGGGTCGTTTTGGAAGGCTCTGGAGTGCTCTTAGGGTCCCACTTCCTCGAAAAAGCGTCGGCCCTCTGGTGGTGACCTTCATTCGAGTAGGGGATCGAATGCAGAATTTATTTACCCCATAACTGCTTTTTGGTCGAATCAGCGGAATAAACATCGAATATTCGTAGACCTACGATCATAATATGAATTTTCGTAGCATTGCCCCAGGTGGACACGTCCGATTCACGTAGCACGCTGTGGAAGAGAAGCAGCAGCTCGAGCGAACTGGCGGGTAGGAGCAGGCTCGAGACAATGGTTACCAGCACCACCTTCGAGCTGGTCATCACCACCTACCAAACCACCCCATCCCAACCCGAAGGCCTCAATTTGCCCTCCATTTCCAGTGTGGGGGGGTCGGAGAACATTGAAAAAACAGATGGAACCCGTACCCCCCCCAACCCGAAATGCGGGCGAAATTCGGGTTTTCAGGTTGGATTGGGGTGGTTTGGTAGGTAGTCAGGTCATGGCCGTCATCATTCTGCTCAACGCGCTCTGCATCGCGGTGGAGGCTCAGTACGACGGCATGGCGTCGGGCTACAACGCTGGCGTGGACCCGCGCATGTCGCGGCCCGCAGACAAGGTCTGGCCTGGGGCCGACAGCGTTTTCTTGGTGCTCGAGTGGTTCTTTGGAATACTGTTCACAGTCGAGCTCGCCTTCAAACTGGCTGCTGTCCCAAAGAAGACTCTGAGGGACTCGTGGAGCGTGATCGACGTTCTCGTAGTTGCCTTCTTCTGGGTCGAGGCGCTCTCAAGCGACCTTCCCTTCCCACCGACCTTGATCCGCCTGGCGCGGATGGCACGGCTGTTGCGATTCCTTCGCGTCGTGAAGACAATCAGGGGCTTCGCTTCGCTCTACCTGATGCTGCAATCGATCAAGGGAAGCGTGTCGGCCCTCGGGTGGTCCAGCATTGTGCTACTAGTGATGGAGATGATGTTCGCTTTGGCGCTCAACTTACTTTTGGTGGATTTCTGGGAGGATGAAGACTTCAACCTCGAAAAGAGGGAACTGCTGTACGAGTACTTCGGCACTTTTAGCAAGTCTCTGCTGACAATGATCGAGATGCTGCTGGGCAACTGGTTCGCCGTCACACGAATCCTAACAGACTTCAGCGAGGTGTTCATGATCTTCGGCATCTGCCATCAGCTGGTCTTCGGGTTCGCAGTGATCGAAGTTATATCAGGCGTATTTCTCAACGAAACATTCAAAGTCGCGGCTCTGGACGATAGTATCATGCTGAACGAGGTGAGGCGAGCGGCCAAGGCGGAGAGCGCTAAGCTGACAGAGTTCTTCAAAAAGGCAGACAAGGACGGCAGCGGGCTGGTGGACCAGCTCGAGCTCAAGAAGGTGTTGGACAACCCGCACGTGGAGGAATGGTTGGGCGCCATGGGCCTGGACCTGTCCGACATCGATAAGGCATTCCGAATGCTGGACAAGAATGGTGACGGGTATCTCAGCCCCGAAGAGCTGGTTGAAGGCGCGTCCAAGATGAAGAAGCCCGCGAGGGCGGTAGACCTCGCGTTGGTGCAGGTGATGCTCGAGGACTTGAGCGCCCGTGTCAGTGCCGCACACCGGTAGGAGCTGGTGACGGTCGCATCCGACGCTGCCAAGCAGATTCGGGTGGCTGCTTTTGCACCGTCTTTTTTGTTCCCTCCCCCATCGCCAATCGCGCCTCCTCTTCATCGCTCTCCTTCCACAGGGCCTGCGTACGAGCGCAGCCCTGCTGCGCTGCCAAGCCGTGCGGCCACTGCCCCGTCTGGCCACCCCCCTGCACGTTTCCGCGCTGGTGGTGGCAAAGGGGGGCGACGGGGAAGGGTGGTGACGTGAGGCAGGGGCGGGAAGGGGGGGGGGGGCAAGCCTCGTTCCGGATCCTGCGATTCGATTCGTTTCGATTTCCATGGATTCCGACTCCGATTCGATTCGATCTCGGATTCCGATTTGGGCTCCGATTTCGCAATGGAGGCCCATTAGCCTGCCGATTTTGGCCGATTCGACTTCTCCCGACTTGGCTGCCTATTTTCGCCGATCCGATTCATTTCGATCGCCGATCCGACTTGTCGATTCGATTCTGTGCTCTCCTGGGGGGGGGAGCGGGAGGGAAGCGGGCAAATAGGGGATTGGTGATGGGAGGGGAGGAAGGGAGGGAGGTGGGAAGTGGCGAGGCAGAGCGGGAAGCGGGAGGGCTGGAGGAGAGGGGTTGGATGGGTAAAAAGAGGTCGAGGTGAGTGCAGCGGGCGGGAGGAATGGTGTGAAGAAGATGGGAGGAAGGGGGGGATTTGTGAGCCGCAGTTAAGAGGGAGGTGGATGGGCGTAAGCTGGAGGGCAGGGGAGGGCGAGAGGAGGGAGAGGGAAAGGGGGGGGTGCTGGGGGTCAAGAGGGGGGAGGGAATGGGGAGGCGGAGGCGAAGAAGGATGGAAAGGTAGGGAGGTCGAAATAATAGCACGAAGCGATGGCATGAGGACAGCGGACAAACGTGAGATGAGGGCAGCTGATAAAAGTGTTGTCGACGGCGAAGAGGAGGATAATTCGGATAACGACGTCGATGAGGTGGTGATGCGGATGCTCCTGTTATTTAAGCTGCTGTGGATGAGGTCGTTGCCGATGATGCTGCTGATTGCGATGATGACGTCGTCGATGACGACGACGGTGATGCTGATGCTGACGACGGTGATGGTGATGATGATGGTGATTGTGATTGCGATTGTGATTGTGGTGACGACGACGCTGCTCCTGCTATT